CCCCAAAACCCCAAAACCCCAAAACCCCAAAACCCCTAAAACTGAGCTAAAATTGAAAAATATTAATCCCCAGTAATATTTATTCAGCTGAATGGGATCCCTCTGCTGCACAGACTACGAGAAGGAACACGAAGTGAAGACGTAACATCTTATATGATGTATAGCGACCAAAGAAAACCAAAATCTAAGAAAGGAATGAGCATGCGAACAGTTAGAGTTTCTGAAAATAACAGAGGCGAGAAGATAAAATATAATCGCGACGAGTCAGACCAAGAGAGCAGCTCGGAAGAAATTTCCAATGTCTTCACTCACAAATCAGACAATTCCTCCTCAGTGGAGGAGTTAGACTTCGATGAGTCGGATGAGGAGTTTGATGCTGGAGAAATCTCAATAGAATTCCTTGTACTGTCCATTTTATATTTCAAACCTTCTATTACTTAATTAACTTCAGAGTTTTCTCTAATATTATGAAATATAGAAAGGAGAAGGAGAGCATTCAGAGGAAATTATTAAAGAAATCAAGCAGAAAATGATAGAATTTAAGAAATTTCCTCGGAAAAAATACCCCAAAGAAAATGCTGTATTCAAAGGCGAGCTTAAAGGCATCTCTCGTGAGGGTAAAGGAGTCCAGGTCTGGGACACCGGCACGGTATACATTGGAGAATGGCACAAAGATAAAATTAATGGAGAAGGTACTATCTATCACTGCAATGGGGATATCTACACAGGCCAGTTTTCTAATTCTCTTGCTGAAGGGGAAGGAAAGTTCAAGACTAAAGGAAACGAAGAAATTGACGGTCATGTTTATGAAGGACAATGGAGGCGTGATAAAAAGCATGGAAAAGGAGTCGAGAAAATGGACAACGGCTGCATCTACAAAGGTGATTACAAGGATGGATTCAGGCATGGCCAGGGTACTTATACCTATGATGACGGCTCAATATACACAGGAGGCTGGGCCAGAAACTGAATGCAAGGCAAAGGGACATACGAATTCCCCTCAGGCAAGATCTACAAAGGGCAGTTTTACCAAAATCAAATGCAAGGGAAAGGGAAACTTATCCTTCCAAATGGAGAATCTTATGAAGGTGAATTTAAAAATAACGTCAAAGACGGCAAGGGAAAATACATCTTCCAAGATGGAACCATTTATGAAGGTGAATTCATGAACAATAAGCAGCATGGAAGAGGAACCCTAACCACAAAATCTGGTAAAAAGAAGAAAGGAGAGTGGCAAAATGGCAAAAAATTAGTGAGCCAAGCCTAAAGCAGTTTTAATTTTAACCTTCTGGAATTTAAATATTCCTATTTTTTGGGGTTTTGGGGTTTTGGGGTTTTGGGGTTTTGGGG